ACTGATGGCTTGTTTTTCAAAGGTACCCAAGACACATTTGGATTTAGTAATTTTAACATCAACATTGATGCGGCTTTGTTGAACATCAAAATATGTTTCAATATATTGAGTGTTCAATTATTGTTGAACATTCAATTTCCAAAAAGAAATTGAATTTATAATTTAAAAAGTACGCGTTACGCAAAGATCCTTCACCATTCGGAACTTCGAGTAAACAAGGGGTAATTGAAACAAGAGAGATACGGAAATTAAACGAGCAAACTTGCCAAACAGGATTTATCATTTTGTCACAAAAATGCATAGCTAACAAGCCGCAGCGCCAAGCTTTCGGGTTTTTCAATTAAAAATGCATGCAAACACTTGCTCATCATTCATGCTTTGCTAAATAACTCTAATTGTTTCATCCCACCAAATCTTTGTTTTCTTTTTTCGTTAGCTACCCTATTCGTCATTGCCCCGTTTCCAAATTATGTAGTTTAAAGCTCTGTTTACAACGAATATGTAGTTTCATTCGTTTCGAACAAACATTTAATCAACTTTTTGTTGGATGATATTTTTGTGAATATTTAAAGTGCATGTATCAATTTTTGATAGTTTTAAACTCAAACATGGATGAATTCATGTATTGGTTCGTCGAAGCTTACATTAGGAATATACTAGTGCCTATTTTCTTGGATAATTTTCAACAAATTTATTTAATAAAAAAAAATCATTTTGTTAAGAAATCAGAAATCAACGGCAGAATTACCGAGGGTGGCAAATCAATTGGAACCAATAACGCTTTTACGTTTTTAATTTCGATTGTCATTAATTGTGGGTGAGAATGATTTCTCGGCTCGTTTGCCCTCCAGATGGATTGCAATTCATTCGTAATGAAACTAATATATCCTCCCTGAGAAATACGGCCAGACCATAAAAATACTTTCGTTCTGTTTGTATGCAATATGGCTGCTCGGAAACGCGCTGTTGCGTTTTCCTAGACATTCTTTTCCTATGTAGTAGGCGTATAGGGTGATTTTTTTGAAGCCAATTATTTTAAGAATGATGACGCAAAAACAACAATGAAATAGTTATGTTATTTAACGTAAAGTTTTCACGTAGGTACGTATTTGTTGCTATTATTAGTTTAATTTTTTTTTTTGGTGAATATGAAAAAATATGCTTAATCGGTTTTTTTTTATTTCAATTAAGCTTGCCACCAATTGTTTTATTCTCGGATTTTCACAAGGCAGAATAACAATAAAGGTAGGTAACTATCTAAAATTAATAAAATCTAGTCCACTTATCATCGTCTAGCTTAAGTATCTATCAATTTATTTATAGGTTCAATATTTGACTATGTATCCAATTTTTATTATATCTTGTAAAGTGGTGTGCTGACTAAATATATTTCCAATATCCAACACAAAATTACTCTATATTTGGTTAATGATTGAGAATAATTTCCATCCATCTAGGAATGGTCAATGATCTTCTTCTTGTTCCCCTTGGTACAAAGCCTGTTCCAAATTTGTCAACGTCTCTATTTGCAGCAATTTTCCAAGTTTTGAGAGAATCCAATGTCTCCCTGCTTATCAATAAGAAAGGCCAACTTCGATGGTCAGGGGTATCAAATCTCTTTGCGAAATGCTGTTTGTTCGACTAGTTAGTATTATAGCCCATTTTGCTAGTGAACTAATTTGCCATTATTATTTACCTATTAGAATGGTTTGATTTCCTTGCTTGTATAGTAGAATAACGTCCGCATTTTGCCATTTGTTTGGTTTTCGTTCTTTCTTCGAATATCCTTTCAGTTCAATTCGCACACTATCCAGAAAGAATTTCCCTCCATTTTAATCATGTCAGTGGTAATTTTCGCCTGTGCTTTTTTGTCTGGTTCCTGGTTCAGTGCTGCCCTTAGTTCTACACTACTTCTGACTCTACATTTTGAATTTTTGATCTGTGATTTCGATTATTCTGGGGTCTAGAACTGTAAGCACCGATCTTTATTGAAGTCTGGAAGCATATCTATGATTTCCGGCTGCTAACGAGAGTGCTTTTTTCGTTTCCCATTTTAGTCGCTATAAATTATCCGTGTGATAGTTTGGAATTCAAAACGTTTATACTTTTGTTAGCTATGTTGGTACTATGATCTCTCAAGTATTTTCAGCTATTTCTGCTAGTTTTTTCCTAGAGTTTGTTATTGACCTGCATTTCTTGTCAGACGATATTGCTTGATTAAGCTTTTTTTTTCAACACTGCCTTCATTGCGATTTGAATGGTGTTCGAAATGTTCTTATTTTTCCATTTGAAAACGTATTTTGGAATCGTCCAATTTAGTGCAAAGGATCCGTTGATATGTGTTTTTGTTATTCTTAGCACTTTGGAATATTTTTGTTTTAACGAAATGAAGAAGGCACCGTGTGCTAAAGCATGTTAACGGCATCGTATAAATAAAATTGTAAAAGTCTATTTTGCTTCCTTTATATCTGTCAAAATTCAATAGCGACGTTCATTTTGATTGACTCCTAAAGTTGCCATACTAACATAAGGAAAAGAAAATATATTATTATAAAACAAAACATTGAAACTGCTGATGAATGTATTTTGACCCAAGTTAAAAAGTGTATGTTACAAGATGTGTATAAGTTACAAGACGCCAGGTGGATGCAGGCTATTGAAACGGAAGAACAATAGTAATGAAATGATTGTGTTTATTTAGTCAAAACAGTTGGGTTTCTTCGGCCCATATAAACAAAACCGACTTTCAAAACCAAACAAAGTTTCTTATTTTAACTCATCTCTACACCCACTTTAAAGGATTTTTATGTATTAGTAGGTACATCTCACTTTAACTACATTTCGTGTAAATAGTAGATTTTTTGCTTAGTCCGATATAATTATACCAGGGGCCTAAATTGGGTTTCGACAAATACTTTTCATTAGGAGTGTCGTGTGGAGTGTGGAAAGAAACGATCATTTCCGACTAGAATATTAATCATCAGTGTTTCAAAAGTAGAAATACCAACTCATAATATACTTAAATGTTAGCAAAAATAAAACAGTATTTATGTGAACGGGCCGTCAAATAACTCTGGATATCGGCAACTAATATACGAATATAATGGTACGACTGCAAACAAAATAGATTTCAGTTCAGCCATTATTTATGAGTTTGCATTTGTCAATTAACGAATGGAAGGTTAACAATATAATTTGTCATCCAGACAAGCGGTAATTTATCTTCTCTTTAAACCGTATTTTGTATAACCTCAAACCGAAATCTGGGCATAAATTATAATAAAATAACTAAATTATTTTTCGATTTTCGCTCAAACGTAGGCCATATTTTTATAATAAATCATTGCACTTATTCAAAAACATATTTGGTATTATTTCAGTAAGTAGTTGAATTATTATATTTAGTTTGAAATGAAAGTTAGTTACCTAGCTCGGGAAGCTCGACAAATGTCTTAATTATTTAGCTTCTAATGCCTGAAAGATAATTAAAACCATCTACGAAAGCTCGCTAAAAAACTTTATATCTCTATTCAAAAGATCCAGAGAGAAAGTCATTCTTAAAAAATACCTTGTCCCCAAGAGCGTTAATCTCAAGCAAAATAAAAATAACAATCAGAAGACGCTTTTCACTTATCAGGGCCCTTTTCACCCTTGAAAAAAGTTGCGGGAAATTTATATAAAGGCTCTTGTCGGCACCCTTTTCTAATATCTTTGATAATTTTTATTTTTTCGCCCCGTATTTCGGTTTAAAAAAGCCATGTAATAATAAGGGTGGCTTGATGCATCTTTAAAATTGCCCATAATAATAATCAAAGCGGTTAGCACCCCATTTATTTATACTGAAGAATATTTTCATTTTAAAATGGGTAGACAAGAAATAATGTAAAACTTTGTGAAAAACCGCACTGTGGAAAATTCAAATCAGATTTGGATTTATATACGATGGCGTAAAGTTTACAGATCAAACATTTTTTAAAAACTCATCAAATAAATATCGGATGAATTTGGTCGTTTTCAAATATTCACGAAACTTTAACTCCATTTTTCTTGATAGATTACACCGCACATTTGGGTTGTATCCCAATCTTTTCTAATCGCCTGAAGAATCTGAATGAATCGTTCTAGACTAGAGAAACGATTTAGAACAACTAGAACAAAGTTTAAAGTTGACTCTCTTTCCTAGTCGTCTTGTAAGAACTCATCATATCAATACTTTCTAGCATTGCAAGCAGAGTATGTTGATGAATTTAAGCGGACAGCCGTGCATAATGCTAGTATTTTCCAAAGAGTGACTCGATTAACAGAGTCGAACCTGTGACAGGTCTATGAATGCCATATACAGAGGTTTGTTTTGAACGAGTTTTTGAGGAACCTTATCGAAGAACCTATCATCTACGTTGAAATCTCTGTTCAAGAGTTCCTGAAAATGCTCCTTCCATCTGGAGTTATTAGAAGCGGGATCTTCGAGTAACTGGGTCCTATCTCTAAATATAAGTAAAGGATTTAGACCTTTTGTAGAGGGACCATAGATTGCTTTTGTGGCAGTGAAGTTTTTACTGGCTACTAAATGTTCCAATTTACTTCACACTTCGTTGTCCAGCACTGGTTTTTCAGCATTCTTGTTCTTCTTTCCACTTCGGCCTTTGCTTGCTTGAAGATAGGTTTTTTTCTTGCGAGCCGAATTTCAGCCGTTTTGTCAGATATTGTGTGCTTTCCTCTTCTTGTCGATGACGTTCTGAATTTCATCATTGTTCTTATAATACCAATCCTGAGTCATCAGTTTATTATAATTATCTAAAGGACGTTTCATCAGATACATCACTTAAGTATTTCTAGGTTTAAATTTTCAAGGCAACAACCCGAGGGTTTTAGGTTTCTTATAAATAAAAAATATTTGAATCAAGAAAAGTATTGCTGTATATAGGTACTTCAAATTGCTCCAGTCCATAGATTCACAAATATAAAATAATGAACCAAAAAACATAGTGCAAAACACTTACTTCGGAATCCTCTGTTGTCGTCATGAATTCCCGGTGAATCGGTATCCGTGGTTCGTGAATGGTGCTCTCCATCCTCAGACATTTGAATATCCAAAGCCTCCTCTTTTACAGAAGCATTTAGCGGTTGGGGAGATAAAGATGTGCTGGCGGGAGAACAAGAATCTGTTCCTCTAGGACTAGGCCCCAAAATGCGATCTTCTGATGGAGAAAATATGCCTGAAAATAAAAATTTCAGGCTAGGTTTATTATAAGCCGTAGGGTAGATAGCCATCTATCTATCTATCTATCTAACCATTCAATTCCAGTTCATCTAAAACTAATGATGCTTACCATGGTTATGTCCAGAGTGCATACCGTCGCCAGTGGTTTCAATTTTCAAGCATTTAGGAGGAGCAAACGCTGAGGGAGAAGGAAATGATTTAAGATCTGCCAGAGGTCTAAAAGCCCCTGAACCAAGGGATAAGCCAGGATGCAAAAATTGGGGTTGGAGGTGATTTAAAATATGAGCTGGAATACCACTGTAAGCCTCCATATGTCTTAAACCAAAAGAAGATGCCGAAAATGGACGATGTAGTTCTTTTTGTGCTTCAGACATGACAAACTGGAAAATAAAAAATAATGTGAACTATAACTTAATGAAAAAATATGATCGGAATGTTTTCATATAACGTAATTAAATTTAAATAGAGAAGGAACACCTTCAAATATTATTAAATCTATTATTTTTCGTCGTACATATAGCAAGATGATTCCAGAAACAAGCAAAAAAAAAATTATAGGTATTCTCGTCAAATATAGCGACATAGCTTTGCGAACAAAATTTGCGTGTTGTAGGTACCTACTAGTTCTAGTTTTATCTCATTTTTGTGTTGTGAATAAAATTTACTTGAGTTTGTAAAAGTGGTTTCACTCATCTACGAACCTGCTTACGTAACACAGACTGCATCCAGAAAAATAACACTGTTGATACTAAAATAATATGATAAAATGTCTATTGTAAATAACATCTGCTGTCCAAACTTTTGTAATCAAATAGATGGGTAGGAGGCAGTGGCGGCTGGTGGGTGTGTCTCAAGATGAGGCTACAAAGTGTTATTGTTTCAGAGTAGGCAACCTTCGGTGTAAGCCCGCTAGGACACGACAAAAAACAGACGATTTCAAGAAAAACAAAAAAAAAGAAAAAAAAAATTAATTGAAAATAAAAAGGAAGAAGTAGGAAGACAAGAAGATATTGAGAGAATTGGCGAATTTTTCCAGAATACTCGACAAAAAATCGAAACTGTTGAACATAAAGTAGACGAAATAGGAACTATCCGGAAAGAAGTCGAAGGTGAAATAAGGAGAGACCACCATAACATTGGAAACAGGCATCACCGTAGCATTGAGAATAACCACCACTAAACTGAAGGTAGAATTGATAGTTGCTGACATTGAAAATTAGTTTATATTGATCGGTAATATCCTAGAAACCGTCGATTTCCTATCTCCGGAATTTAAAGGATTTCTTATCTGTGGACTAGAGATACAAAGTCGATTTTTCCCTTTACCTCATCAGCTATCCAAGTAGTAAGATGTGCGCACAAATTAAAACCTCAATCCAACCGAAAGATGCAGAAGACACAGAAAACATACACAAAGCTCACAGTGAATTTCAAGGCATAAAACACAAGGAGAGGAAAAGCTGGCTCACTGATGACACATGGATCAAAATAGGTAACTCACCGCAAAACCATCAAAGCGGAGATGTTAAATGCCAATACCCATGATGCTCAAAATAGGCTTCAAAGGAACCACCAAGAGTCAAAAACTGAAGTTAAGAAAGCGGCAAGAAGAGACAAGCGTCTATACATCAACAACCTTGCGCAGCAAACACAAATTGCCCCGAAGAAAGGCGACTCAAGTGCTATCTATCGCATAACCAAAACCCTAGCCAACAAAAGCAGTAACACTCAAAGCCAAAAATGGCTGAACCCTAACAATCACGGAAGATCAAGTAGAAAAACGAACAGAATACTCCAGCGATAGCCTCAACCCAACAGCCCCACCCGATGCCGAAGAAGTAAAAGCAGTGTCTGCAGGAACATTAAAAATCAACAGCAATCCACCCAATGTCGAAAAAAGCAATTGCTCAGCTCATAAAAGCCGCCGCAACCGAAAACTTGCCCCCTAAGATCTCCAAAGCATGCCCCAACAGCACATGCAAGGTTCAAATTAGCGTGGCATTACTCCACTAAATGCGGTAAACAGAATAACGGCGGCAGTCATCCACAGTCGTAACCAGCTGTCCAAACAATTCTGCGACAACAATGAGCAGGTTTTCGCGTATAGGCCACATCAACACGCTGCGCATCATTATAGAGCAGTTTGTAGAATACAAATCTCCACTGTTCCTAGTCTTCATAGACTTCCAGCGTGCGTTTAACACCGGCAACCATGAGATAATCTGGAATGCGCTTACAGAAATAGGAACACCACAACAAATCATAAACATCATAGAAGCTCTCTATACCATCAATCTAAAGGCCGCGTCATTCACAAAGGCACCACCGGAGAAGAAATACCTGTAAAAAACGGTGTCAAACAATACAAACAAATACTTTTTAACATTGTACTTGAAAAGGTCCTCAGAAAAAACTGTCGAACAAGAAAGAGGCCGTCGCGTCGGAAAGATCTAGACTATGCCGATGACCTCTGATTTCTGGCCAACATCCTAAAAGACATAAAGGATGACATTGAAACAGAGAAAGAGTTCACTTACTTGAGGAACATCATGGATCAGAAAGGGGTAACCGAAAGAGACGTAGAGGGCAGAATACTCAAAGGCCAGCTCAGCCCCATTTTAAATCTAACCAGTACAGCGGAATCACCAAAATGACAATTTTCAACAGCAATGTGAACCCTATACTGCTATACGGGTGCGAAACATGGAAAACAACGAACAAGATACAGAGCTTTATTAACAGATCTCTCTGGAAACTATTTCGGATCTACTGGCCTAACACAATTTTCAATCAAGAAATTTGGGTCTTAGCAAAACAAGAACAAATAAAAACAGAGACCAAAAGGCGAAAACGGGGGCTGGGTTAACGCGGAAGAGGAAGACCTAGGATAACTTGGCGCAGAAACGTTTTAGTGTAGGCTGAATCCAAACAAAAAAGCTCGTCACGAATCAAGCAGATAGCTCAGAACAGAGTCAGATTGCCTTTGTGGAAGCCCTATGTTCCGACAGAGGAATCCTGGGAAATGATGATGAAAGGACGCGGCAGAGTTTTCGTGCCGAATAATTTTGAAATTTTCTTCGCAATTTATTAGAGGTGTATAAAATAATAGTATTGTTGAAAACCGTTCACTAGAGAAAATCGTGTTGAACTAGACGACATTACGATTACCAAAAAAAGTTATGTCATATATTTTTAATCTTAAGGCTTTGTCTACAAATTATGTATTAATTTTTTGCCAATAGAGCCTTATTATTATTCGATTTATTATTAATTCATCGAAGAAAAGTTTTACTTTACATCGACAGTAGGACTAGGGAATAAAGAAAAGACAGCATTGTCCAAAATCAGTTACGATTTCTTATCATTGTTGGTAAAAATTAGTATTACTTACTGAGAGATGCTTTCGGAGACGTTCTTAGCAGTAAAAAGTAGAAGATGTCTAATATCTCATTGAGCTCCCATACATCCCAGGAGCCTATTTCATAAAAATGAAGAGTTGATGAGCGACGAGTGAAGAGTTGAGGAGTGAAAAGTAAATGTCGTTTTTGTTTCAAAATAAATTTGCGTCTACTCCTCGGATTCATGAAGAGTTGACCAGTATAGTATACAAAATAATAGCTAATGAAGAGACACTTCCATAATTTGTTTAACTGTTAATCTCTAGTACGCAAAATCGGTATTCATAATCAGTTGCAGGAAAGTAATTTTTTTCTCAGATATCCTGAATCTGGTGTTTGCATCAAAAGGTCTAATTTTTAATCAGGTATATTGTGCCAAAGTGTAGGTTTATTGTGCCAAATGTTTTACCTTTTAGTCTCTTCCTACATAACTTTCTTTTCCTTTGTGACACATCTTCTTCATCGGAAGAAGAATCACTGCTAAATAGGAGATTTTACATTACATATGATGTGTGCACTAAACGTATTTGAAATAGAAATGAGGGTCTTCGTAAACTCCTTAGTAAATCTTGAGAAATTGAGGAAGTGAAGAGTGTTTAGTTTATGAAATGAAATTAAAAATTTCGTAAACTATTCAACTCTTCAGCTCGTCACTCTTCAACCCTTCTCCTCAACTCTCCAAAACTTTTATGAAATGGAATGTTACATTCTGTCGCTCCTTACTCCTCAACTCTCTATTTTTATGAAACAGGCCCGGTCGCCAGTTATTGGACTTTTGTTTTTGTTGAAAAACTGGATGATGAAGGTAAAATAATAGAACAACAACAAAAAATAAAACTTTTCTGATAGCGTAACTATACAGTTAATCAAAAGAGGATTAATATAGCCGCATTGATTGGATCACGAATGCGACTTTGACGAGGTTGTGGAAGATGGTTCATATTTGTAGACAATAATTCCTGAATTAGTTGCTAATCACCAATAAATGTATGCTAAACTACCAACTGGTTTTCCATTAAATTTGCACAGGAATGTGGAATAAATTCGAGGATGTTTCATTGAAGGCTGGTTAACGAAAAATATATCATATGTGTTGCATCTCGGAAATTGTTGGAAGTTTTGTATTACCGAGACCTCGACCGAAACATTACCAATAGTTATAGTTATGTAGGACCTGGTTTGGTTAGTAACTGTTTACTGGCTACCTATTCAGTGTAATCCCTAATTTTGCAAAGATTTTTGAAATAATAGGTATTAAAGGTGAAGTTAAAGATTTTTTGAAAAAAAATAAATGTCTCTCAGAGAGTTAATTTGATTTTTTTGAAGGGCGAATGATGCTGTGCTAACTTTAACAGAAGAAATAAGACATAACTTGGACATGCGGACAATAAGCAGCAGGCGACTCGCAGTCGCAGTTTTCCTGGGATACTGGACTACTTGATTTAGGACAAGTGAGAGTACCTACCTACAAATCTTATACAATAAGTGAATCTAATAAAAATTGGAGCTCCACAAGGAACCGTTTTGGGTGCGATTTTTTCCAATTTATATATAAAACTATTAACAGACTTAAATATAAATGGTAGTACATGTAAGGAAGCAAAAATTGATACACTGTATTAAGTTGGTTAAATGGTGGCTTTATGTACATAAATTGTCGCTGAATGTAAAAAAAAAAACTAATGGTATCGCATTTACTGAGAAGTTAATAGACATCATTTCAGTTCATTGAATTTAATAATTTAACCAATAAGATTGGCTCAGTACCAACTACTGAACCAGAACTTGAAGTGGGACGGGCATAGCCTATTTAGTACAAAATCTAAAGCATTTAACCCACACATTTTATATAGGTATCGACAAATTAATGATGTGTGAAAATTGTTGATTTTTCTATATCGACCTTTGAGTGCATAAAACGATACCTACGGAATATTAGCTGGGGGGGAAGTATAAACCTCTTAAAATTCTGCAAAACAGGATATATAACAAATTACCAAATAATATAAAGGTTGGGAATATGAATTTACATTGGCTTCAGAAAAAACGTTCAAGCTCAATAATTTAAGCTGAAACGTTGAGTAAAACCAATTTCTTTTGCAACATATCGTTTTCGAAAATGCTCCGTAGGTACGTCCCAGACAAGTGGAAGAAGTGGAACTTTTTCAATAAACCGTTCCTGCACGTTCTAATCCCAAACCTTATAATAATCACTACTGAGTACATAGGTATTTAATTTATTTTAAGTAGGTATTTTTTTAAGAAGAAAGGCAAGCGAGTATTTTTTATAACTACACCACAGCTTATAACAAAGTGGTAACATCATCATTTTGATTTATGAAAAATTATCACTTCAATACATGCATATATTGCACCTACATATTTTCTGAAGTTCAGAAATTTAAAAATATGTATATCTATAAAATTTTTGAATTAATTTTCTTCGCTTTTCCATCCACAGACGCGTTTCGACCTATCAGGTCTCCTCAGTGTGGCTAGGAAAGCAAAGAAAACCAATCCAAGTTTTTTTTTCGCTCCTCGTACTACAAATTGATATATTTTATACCTAGATGGTATAAAATATATCAATTTTTTTCATAAAATTATAATCATCCAGGGATTGAAGTTTATAAAATATTTATGTGATATTTTTCAGAGCTTTTTCCAATTTTTTAATTGATAGCAGTTCCTTTTTCATATTTACTGCCTCAAATGTTTATTACATATGTATTGGAAATTGAAATATGAATAAGAGCCCTGACAGCTACTGTTTGTGCTCTTTTAAGCACTAGGTATATTTGTACATATTAAACAAAATAGCAAATGTCAAGTAGGTAGATATAGGTATATCCAAAAATGATACGACATGAAGGGTGATGCTGATGGTGCTAATCTAAAATATTGTTAATTAATTTTGCTATTTACCTGTGGATTAAATGGCCTTTGAATCCGAAGAGCATCTTGCAAACCGCCGGCGGCTTGCGAAAATACAACAAGAGCTGGTGAATTTAAGTGTCCCGAATTGGGGACATACGCGGAGTTCTCCATAGCTAAAAATTAATTTTTCTTTAAATATTTTAGCATTGGTGAAACTAATTATAGACCATTTAATTGTAAATAATTAAAAAGAAAACACGTCAAAAAATAATAATGAACTAGACACTATTCTTTTTCACTAAAGAAACGCTTTTCACAGTGGCACTTACAGATAAAAAAAGTTACCTGATGAAGCTCTTGATTCTATCTACCTATACTTTGATTATAACCGAATTCGCGTATTGGACGTACATTCAAGCGGCTTTACGTTAACACCTCACTCAGCATCGCGATTCAAACTGACAGAAACTTTTCCCCACTCTGTAAAAGCACGTTGTTGCTTCATTCACGGCGTCGAAAGCTCACGCATCATGTGAAATAATGGGCACCTCCTACCCAACCAAACGAGATAGGAGGATCTTTTGCTGAAAACCTATAATCATGTCATTAATTTTGTTGTTTTACATTTATTTTTGCTCTCACCTCTCACCTGCTGTTGGACGGCTCCAGGTCCAGCAATTGGCATTCTGAAACGTTATACCTAAGTAACTTTTCTGTTTGTTTTTTTCCCCATTTAAAATGCTAAATTTTTATTTCAAGACATTTAAAATTGAATGGCCGCTAAGCTGTGAAAAGAAATGGAATTAAGGAATGTAATGTGCTGTAAAATTTCCCACATGCAGTTTCTTCTGCATTGCATAATTTCAAAATAAATTCTACTCGAGTAGGTAGGTAGGTAGGTAGGTACCTTTGTAACTAAATAAATATTACGAAAACTAGAACCCTTGTTTTCTATCAGTAGCAAAGACTTCAGTAGGTTTTTTTTTGAAACATTTATTAAGTACCTAAGCAATAATTGTTATTTACATTACAATTCTAAACAATGTTTAGAACACTGGCACCAAGGATAATTACGCCATAATTAATAATTAATTTTTAACAGTTCCGCAATAAAAACAAAAAATCTTAATCAGTAAAAACAAGGAAAGTAAGCACTAACACATTCCACTAATATAAACTACATTGTAGGTTACGTATGTTAACTTATGTATAATTTTGTCTAACCAAAGTTTGTAACGAAGATTTACTTGCCCCTACCTAAAAAAAAATGCCGGATGATGAAGCGAATAGGTTTAGGTGTTATCAGCAAACAAAGGTTGGGTTAAGTCAGTCCTGCGATGTTCTACTGGTGACGATCAGTCGATTTGGAAATAGCGATATTGTTTTCTTTGTGTAATTTATTAAAATAAAATCGAGTCTTATTATAAATATTTGTGCGCCTAACGGAAGTAACTTACAAAAGTTTCTACATTTGTTCCAAAAACTACGAAAGCGTAGAGCTGCCATGCTAATATTAAAAAATATTTTTATAAAAATTTACAGTTTTTCTGTAAATTTACACTTTTTCTGTAAATTTACACTTTTTCTGTAAGTTTACACTTTTTCTGTAAATTCAGTTAATAGTAAGGGTTAGTTTGGGTTAGCTTGCAATTTTAATCAGAGATCACCAAACTTACCGATAATAACCCGGTGAGTTTGCAGTTTTAACATTAAAAAACTTTCAACGATAATAACCCGGTTAGTTTGGCTTAGTTTGCGATTTTAATCAAACATTACCATTATGTTTTCCAAATTATTGATTTTCGAATTATTAATTTTCGAAAAATATATTTTCAAAATTATTGATTTTCGAATTATTAATTTTCGAAAAATATATTTTCAAAATTATTGAATTTTGAAAGAAAAGATTCGAAATAAGCGTTTTCGAAAAGGTTTATTTTCGAAATAACAGCATTCGGCAAAAAATCGAAATTTGTATTGTTGTTATTGTTGTTGGTAATGTCAGACTCTAAATTGCAAAATAACCCAAGCTAACCAGGTTATTATCGGTAAGTTTGGAAATGTTTAAGTAAAATTGCAAAGTTACCAAAACTTACCGGGTTATTATCGGTAAATTTGGTAATGCCTTCTTAAAACTGCCAACTAACACAAACTACCCAGGTTATGATTGGTAACTTTGGTAATGCATTTTTAAAACTGTAAACTAATGGGGTTATTATCCGCGAGTTGTCAGTAACCCAAACTAACCAGGTTGTTATTGGTAAGATTGGATATATGCCTGATTAAAATTACAAACTAACTTAAACTAACCGGGTTATTATCGGTAAGTCTGTAATGTCCGTCGTTTTTAATCTGACACTTTCCGTATGAAGAGCGAGGAGGTGAAGATTATAGCAAAAACAGGTGTAACGTCAGGTGACCATTGGCGTTCTAATGTCCGATGCAGCAAGGTTTGGTCGATATAACGTTGAATTTACGATACTTCCCAACGTTGCATTACGTTGTAACAACAGTTGAATGTACGTTGACAGGACGGCACAATGTCATAATTGAGACAACGTTGAATGTGACCTAACCCAAACTAACCCCTGCATGTTTTACTATAAATTTATACAGTGATAAAAAATTACCCTATTTATTGGGAATTAACTAACAAGTTTTGGAAAAAATATACAATTCATTTATAAAAAACAAAGTTTTTTTTATTATCAAATATGTATTATTAAGCATACCTAATTTATTATTTACAGTAAATTTTGGTTTGTTAATTATAAATAAGAAAAGATAATTATGCGTTAGGTGAAACATTACAAATTAATAAACTTATTTAGTTTAAATGTGACAAAATTTTCACTTTCACTTTAACTCGTTGTCCTAATTGAGGAATAAATTTCTAGAACTCATTTGGGTCCTCAACGATCTGCCTCAATGTTTCCAGGGTATCCACGCCATTTGCTGCAAACAAATTTTTTGTTGGTTAGTACTTATTGAATACCTAAGTATTAAAAATCGAATACCTCTCGCAGACAGGAATAAGGGGAGAAAAAAAATTAATAATCAATATGCTATAAAGCCTAGCAACTTATCTTTTCAAGATGATCCAAAATAGTCTCTGATAACTGCTACTAGGCAGCTAAGGCAGTGCGACAAAGAAAATAATGTTGCCCGCCAATTTATACTCACCATTTGCTGCACTCCTTTATTCATTAAAAATAAGTCATTCGCTTGACATACACAAATATTATTAACTATTAATTACATTTTATGTTTAGCTAACAAACATATTTATAAAAATGTAAGCTTATTTGTTGTTAATTTAATTTATTTTTTATTAACTATGGGCGAGTTTATACAGTTTACAAGGGTGCGTACAGATCGGGCAACCCGGCCGGCCATCGAACGCCAACAAATGAGATTCGGCGATGTGGATACCGAATGTTCGTTGGCCTTCGAAAACACGTCCATGTTGCATTCTACAGAGTACTGGTACCTACTTGTTCTGGCACTCCCCACATTCATTCTGCACACAATTGGCGACGTTTGCTCAGACAAGCGAATTTCGCTATCTATCTGAGCAAACGTCGCCGATTCTCAACGATTCGATCACCTACCTTGACAAGTATCAGTAAGAAATGTTCCCAATTCCGATACCAAATTACTTTGACTTTGATCCTGGTCCATTGTTTGAGGAATAAATTAATAGAGGCACTTAAATACAACTCACAGCACAGCAGCCCGGGACCAACATCTAGTCCCCACGCGACGAAAAATTATTGCTTTTCTTCCAGACCCGAGAATGACAGTGACCGATTGGCAGTGGTCATGGATGCGGAATGCAACGACATCACATTGAACTAGTGCAGGGCCGTCCCTTATTAATTATTGATAAACCTATTTATTATTTAAAAACAAATTTCAGATGTTTATTAACTATTAGTATAAATTGATTTTTAAGTAATGGAATTAAAATTGATAATAAAAAAATATTTTGGGACTATAATCAATAACTAATTTATTAGGATTAAATTTGTTTCATTAGTAATAAATATATGACCGCGAAACAAAGCATTTGTTTTTAATTAAAACAGATTTTTGAGCAGATTATTAATATTGAGTAATTTTTTTTTATATGAAATTTATTATACTTATTGTTAATGAAAATCATCCAAACAAATATTTGTTAACTATTAGCCTAGTTTTTTTCTCAGTGTGGCCTCAATCTTATACCAACGTTGATCAGATGTATTCGAGACGTCAGATTTCACGTTGAACTCAACCGTTATCACAACCTTGACCAGATGTAATTAAGACGTCAGATTTTACGTTGAGCCTGAGGTTGAGCTCAACCTTTATTTACAAGTTGAAATAGAAAAAATAGTACAAAAAACATGCTTCATAAGACATTTGATATCAAATTGCGTCTTATGAAACTTGTTCTATAGCTGGCTCTGGCAGAACAGTTTTCAATTAAAATAAAATCACCAAAATGTTTGAGGTTATATAGGTACTTTATTCCACACATTTTTTAAATAAACACAAACCACAAACTCTTTGACACAAAATTTAATATATCGAAACAGTAAGGGGACACAAATTTGATCAAAATAAAACATTATTTGGAAGATTGCTAAAATTCAACTGGCTTGCTTGCTCTTAAATAGGAATTGAAAAGTATGAAAAGATTTCTATAATTTTCAGGAATTATTTCCGCCTACCAACAATTTCCACCAATCGAAGTTAAATCCAGGCTGGACACATTAATAAACACACAATGACAAAAATAATAACACCCCCAAGAATTGAGCTGGTGGCTCCCTACATTAGAACGCCAATGGTCACCTGACGTTACACCTGTTTTTGCTATAATCTTCACCTCCTCGCTCTTCATACGGAAAGTGTCAGATTAAAAACGACGGACATTACAGACTTACCGATAATAACCCGGTTAGTTTAAGTTAGTTTGTAATTTTAATCAGGCATATATCCAATCTTACCAATATAACAACCTGGTTAGTTTGGGGGTCTGACAACTCGCGGATAATAACCCCATTAGTTTACAGTTTTAAAAATGCATTACCAAACTTACCAATCATAACCTGGGTAGTTTGTGTTAGTTGGCAGTTTTAAGAAGGCATTACCAAATTTACCGATAATAACCCGGTAAGTTTTGGTAACTTTGCAATTTTAATTAAACATTTCCAAACTTACCGATAATAACCTGATTAGTTTGGGTTATTTTGCAATTTAGAGTCTGACATTACCAACAACAATAACAATAACCTGATTAGTTCGGATAAGTTTGCAATTTTTATGAGTCCTGTATGCATGTTCAATTTTCGAGAATACAAATTTCGATTTTTTGCCGAATGCTGTTATTTCGAAAATAAACCTTTTCGAAAACGCTTATTTCGAATCTTTTCTTTCAAAATTCAA